TGAAGTCATTCCACCCTGAGTTGTTTGGCCGGAGAGAGGAGGAGGATGCTAGAGTGAGCACAGCTTTGGGAACAGAGAGACCTTAGTTCCAACCCTTAGGCCACCAACCATTTTTATCCAAAAAAAGATTCAATAGAAGAAAGTGAGCTCGCTTCTCTTTCTCACAGACAGGCAACAGGCTTATTATCTAGCAAGACAGGAAGTCTTCGAGAAGTGACAGACTGGAATCAAGCCTGCTCTTTGTGGGCTTGCTGGGGGAGCGCTTCATCGGCAGGAATACTGGTAAAGGAAGGCCTTTTCCCAGCTGGCAGCAGTCGGTAAGGAAGAATCAGCTTATTTGTTTGTACAGGTGGTTGCGAGCTGTGAACTCCAAGCAATGGGATTCACACAGCAGGTTATACCCAACTAGGGAACAGCAGCTGAAGACATTCAATTCAACACTTATTGACGGAGTTCATTATTAATATGCTAGTTTTTGTAAATCTTGACTGCAAGTGAACAAGTTCTCAAAGTTGTTTACTCCTTAGATATATCTCCTATTGGCAACTGCCTTCCTCCTTGTTTATCTACTTGGTCCCTCCACTTCAAGGCTTCTAAGATTTCCTTGACAGAAAACAATACACATTCACTGTACAGCACGCACTTGTAATTATTAATAAAGGGTGCACTTCTGAACCTTTTTTCCAAGTTCAGCTTGCTGGAAAACACAACAGGAAACATGCTGAAGGTTGGTCTGAAACATTCAGAAAAACAAAACAAAAAACCCTCTTGAACTAGATAAACAATAGCAGAAAGCAGGCATAAATAATTTTACGTCTGCCTTGAAGACTACAGAAGAGAACCTTTCAGGAGCTTTGTACTAGCATTATTAGAATCATAGAATCATAGAATCATAGAATGGTTAGGGTTGGAAGGGACCTTGAAGATCATCTAGTTCCAACCCCCCTGCCATGGGCAGGGAAACCCTCCACTACACCAGGTTGCCCAAAGAAAAAAAGGTATTTTGTCTACATTTCCCTTAAATACTTCTGTCCAAAAAGTAAATTCAATTAGAACATTTCAGGCAAAAGCTAAAATTTGTTCAGAGAAATAATGTCGTGATGACGTGTGGGACACCAGGGGCTTCCATTCTCATCTCTAAACTGCGTTTGTATCCCCATGTAACACAACCATCTCCCTCCTTTACCACACCTGTTGTCTCCCCGGCAGAAATCAGTACACACGTACCACACAGCACACATCTAAAAAGCTCTGAGCTACCAAGATGCACCAGACTCATGGTGCGATACCGTAAGCAGAATTGGCACATAGGCTGTTATAAGGTCTATGACTTGCAGTCCTCAAAGTAAGGCCTGCACAGAAACTCTGACAGAGCTGTTGGATAGCCAGGGATCCCCAGCAAACCTAGAAAAGCAAAAATAAGAGATTTAAAAAGAGGACACAGTTCAGAAAACTCAAATTACAGGTACCGCAGAGGGGAAGTAATGGATGATGCGAGCTCTTGGCCATGAGAATATGTTGAACCATATGAAGAATGTGGACAGAAGACACTCAAATTAATCCCCCACAATACATTGCAGCAACATTCCCTCCTAAATAAAAATATTTCCATTTTAGCCATTAAGTTCTCCACTATAAAACTATCATTTTAGAGAAAAACCAGCAATTTTTGTAAAGGTTGATGCGCACGAATAGAGTTTCCCTATCAGTAGAAACTTTCTGACCAATTATAACTTATGTATTAAGTGCATGTCACAGAATAAACCCCGAAGGCCCAGAGATAAAATACCTTAATTTGTTTTAAACAGCTCCACTTGTAGGAAGCTACTGCAATGCACAATTTCTGGAAAAAGTGGATGCTGTTTTCTAACATGGTCAGTGCAGGACAGCACTCACTCTTTAAATCAAACCCTCACTTGTTGGGGCCTGGCCCTTTGGATATTGCAGCCTTCCCGCCTGCGCAGCACCCTTCTGCTCTGGGTCACAATTCCAAGTATCAACATATCTGGCTTTAGTAACTTATTCTTTCTGAAGATCAGTTTCGAGGTATCACCTTGTCTTTCAGAAGGCCGCAGGTGTTCCAGCTGAACAGGCGAAAAGAACTAAACCAAGAAGTGCCAACGTAATAGGTTTTATCAATTTAACAGGCAAAACTTGAATAGAAACAAATCAAACAACCTTTTTTATTTTCAGTAATATGCATACATAATTGTGTACAAAATCAAAATGTAAGCAAATGTGTACAAAATTCAAACTGTTCTTGTATAAAATTTCCAAAAGAGGTAATATTAAAACTTGAAGCCACACAAGAACCACAAAACTGCCTGCTAGTCACCTATCTCCTCTACTACCTGTTAACTTGCTTTCATTGCTTGGAAAGACAAAACAAGCTGTCAGCATAAATGACAAACATTTTTCACTGTGACAATCATAACAGTGTGCCTGTCTCCCAGCAACAGGCAACTAGGAGAGGTAATTAAAATGTCAAAGTCAAGAAAAAACATTCTTCTGAGTTTACTTTAAGAGATCAACTACTCCTAAATACCTGAGTTTGAAGTGGGGCTGGGGAAAGCCATTGTTTAAGGTGGCTGAGGTTGCTTCTTCTAGAGAAGTTGAGATTAACACTAAACATAAGTCTTGCTCACAAAATTACAAACGTTCACACCAGTACATCTGAGGAACTGCAGTACTGTACACGTTGAACTAGTTGAATAGTCATCCTGGCCAAAAAACTGGACAACGAACAAACTTTAATGCTTAGTGTCCTTTTCTCTACCTCCCATATGTTCCTTGTTAGCTTCATTAAGAAACAGTAAGAATTTTTTTGGTAACAGGTTAAAAGCAGTAAGTAGTAAAAGTAACTTTTTGTTACAGCACTGTGTTGTACTGACAATTCATACAGTAACACAAACAACATACCACAGTTGCCTTTAAGATAGCTGGTTAAAATCAAGCAACTGAGGTGTTTGGTGAATGATGGTGTCGTCTCTGAATACTGTGCCAGGTCATACTTCACAACTGCAGCAGAATACCTTGAAAAGTAACACACAGGCTGCATAAATAACTGTCTCAGTTTCAAGAGGTGCCACTGTAAAAAAACATAAACCCCCACATGGCTGTTGTGACATAGCGAATTAAGACATAACTCTCAGATATAAAGGACCTACATTTTCCACATTGGTTTACATATCAAAATTTTAAATTGGGATGGCTAGTCCTAAAAGTTGGGCCATATTAGTGATAAGTGAAAGGATGCTGCATGATATCTACAATCACAATTTTTTAAAATGTACACTACAAACTATAAAACTTAAAACATTTTACAGCACAGTTTCTATACAACAGGTGGGAGAGATTATGTCTTGCCCCAGAAATCCTTCCTCTTCTGAGCTCGTTCCAGTATCTGAGATGCAAGCGAGCTAGATGCTGCTGAGTGAGCAGAAATCTGAGACAACCTGTCATCTGTGAGGAAAGCAATAAGGGGAAAATTAAATAGGAAGATTAAATATACATATTAAAACACAGTTGACATTCATGGCAGGCTTTGCAAGTGTAAATATTTTTGTGCTCTCTTTCATAATGGATGCTAAAATAGTACCACAATACACTTTAACTCTAATACTCGGTAACTGACATGCTGGACAAGAATCTCATTAGAAAGCTACTAGGATGCTAGGTAAGTTTAAGAGAGCTACATGCCCAACTCTCGACAAACTCCAGAATGAGATCCTGGCAACTGCCCAATTCTCCCAAGTCATCTTTACATTTACTGTTCTGTGTCAGAAGATCTCAGAAATCATTCCTCTGCCACTGAAGCCCGTATAGACTAGACTCTGATAACAACATATTCATAAAAGCAACCCACAGCTTCAAGCAAAGCGGACAACCTTAGAATAACACATGACTAAAATACCAAAACCTATGTTGCTGAAAGAGCTCTTCTGTGCCAAAACCAGCTAGTATGTGTGCCACAAGCTGTTAAAAGAAATGTGTCTTCTGAAGAAAACAGGAAGTTTAACACAAAGACAACGAGAAGCATGCTTTAAACATGTACTTTTGGAAGGTCTTCCTTTTGAATACAAGGTCCACTTCACACCCAGCAGAACTCTTAAAATTAAGCAGCTTGGATCCTGCTTCTCTGATAAAGCACATTATATTTCTTTAACATCATTACTAAAATGTTGCTACAGCTCTGTCAAGACGCTCTCTATGAAAAATGACCTTAATTACACTCATTCTCCTGCAATGGATTAAAAAGAACTGTACCACTACTTTCCAGCCCCCAACAACAACAACCAAAAAATCCACAACTCAATCCTAACAGGACCTGTACTTTGGCAGCGTTTCAATTAACATTTCCTCAGCATTTCTAAATTCTCAAACTACAGTGATCCAAACAGCCCACAACAGGCTCGCACACTATGCATAACTATAGTCCCATGTATGAGAAAACTGCTAACTGCCCTTCTGCAAACACATGTCATTGGGCATAACTATAGTCCCATGTATGAGAAAACTAACTGCCCTTCTGCAAACACACGTCATTGGAGTAACTCCCAGGTTTGTACGGACATGAACAAATATGGGCGTATGAAATATTTGCGAGCTGGCACATTGCACCTGCTTCTGAAAGCTCATATATCATCACTCAGCTCACAGGAAAAAAAAAATAAACAGCAGTTACAGCATTTAATCGGTGTGCAGCAAGCTTGTGGGAAGCTGCACAATACTATAGGATTTTGCATGTTCTATGTAGATACACAGATGCTTGGCTGAGCCATCTGCACAACCCACACATTTTCCAGCCAACTGCTATGAGTAAAATAGAGAACTGGCCTGAACCTTGGTTAAAACCAAGGAGCAAACAAGCGTAAGGGGTACAGAAAAAAGCTTTTGGTTGCTCTGGGGTACATCTATAAATAAACTGCAATCAGATATAAACTTGCTCTGCCCATACTCTAATCTGAACCAAACACAGGTGATTGCAGCTAGCACAGCACCTCACCAAGCTCAACCTCATGCACCACACTAAGAAACAATGTACAGCAGCTCAAGCTAATGAGGCTACAAGTGCCTTTGGTTGACTTTGGTTGACTCACACTACTGAAAGAGTAGTGTCTGTGTCTGCCCACAAAAGGGCCAAGAACATGCACTGGCAGGCTGAGCACTGGCTGCTCCCCCAGACTAACTTTACAGTAAACAAAAAAAAAGGCCAAACAGCAATCAGAGTAACAGGACGCCGTTAAGTACCCCTAATACACTGAGCAGAAGAACATGCGTGAAAACTGAAGTCAGAGGAATCATTTTATGCTACCCATCTGGTGCTGAAGTGCCACAAGCAAAATCCTTGTCTTAAGATTTTTAGTACCTTTCAAGTTGCATCCAGAGTTACTGCAGCTGCAACCAGGGATGTGATCATTTTGCAGTTTGCTTCTGTTGCTATCAACACTAAGGCTTAAAAAACGTGTGGGGACGAAACCATTTTAGGTAAGGAACTGAGCAAGCTATAGTAACCATTTTGAGCCACAATGGTCTATTTAATTTTCAGATGCATTTAATGGTTTATTCATACTAGAATACCTTCATATTCATACTCCAGATTACTAGGATGAACATTTTCAAATTATTTTGATGAAACAATGCAGTAGTTATTCAAGCAAACACATAAACCAGTATTACTTACTGTATTCAGAAACCTCTCATATTAGTGCAAAAGCTAAAATTAATCTAGGTAATATACGTATCATATACAATAAAACTTTTGGACAAGAAGTACCTTCATCATTATAGTTTCTTTCCTGAAGGGGTAACTGGAAAGGTCTCGTTTTTGGATTGCCAACATTCCCTAAGGCAAAAAGTCAAAGGCACAGTTTTGAATCATTTCAAAATAGACAGAGAATAATATTTCATTTTAGAACATTTAAAAATGTTACAACATTATTCCCAAAACACGAGTCTTATAAATAGCAAATACACCAAAAACTCCACAAGGCTCATTTAATCTAAGCTGTGATAAAATAAATTTACTTCACTGTATTCTTCTGAAGGCACCTATCTTTGGTAGATGCTACAAGTTACTTAGTGAACTTCACTCATGGTGCAGAGCTAGAACATGGCACCAATTCTAACCTCTTTCCAAGGAAATTCTCTGCATTTCACCATCCCACTTAACCTGACAACTACTTGTTCCATTCTAGAATGGAAATACTAATTTAGTTTAGCTAATCTTTATAATAAAAGGACTAAGAATTGTGGGACCTTAAGCAGCTCTAGAAGGTCTTTTTGGAATGGAGACTAACGCACATAAATTTTATTTTGACTAAGAGGTGAAAGATTCTTTTCTCAATCAAATTTATGTCCCCAACATTGTTAAAAATCTTCGAAATGCTCCAGTACAAATTCCTCCTCAGCCAAGAAATGGCTTTTCTCAATATCCAAATCTTTTATAGATGGCTTGATTCCATATCCTGCAGAAATATTTAAGGAGTTTATCTCTCAGAAATCCACAACTCCTGCAAAATAATATCACACTATAAAATTCCCCAGATAAACACCATTATATGTAATTGCAGCTGTAAAAGTGTCACAGCATCCAGTTGTAGCCTGGATGTTTAAGTTTAAAAATTACAACTGTTTACGCTAAATCAAATTATTCTCGTAATGGGTAAATACTTATTGAAATTAATAAGGCAAAATTAGACAACAGACCATTAGAATACAATTATATTAGTGGAATCTGAAACTAAGGTGGAGAGTTGTGCACATTTCCTCCACAAGAGTAAACATATAGAAGAAAAGCTTTTGTTTACAAGCAACACATTCTTGGTAGAGTCTGTAAGGCAGCAAGCTCAGCACTCTCTTGGCCTGAACACTGCACGGTAGCCATTTCCATCCTGCAGCTCTCTAACACAGCCAGTTAACACACAAAACCCACCAGTATGCTGGAATTCTGGATCTTTGAGAGTCCCTTGAATACGACGAGAGGGACTCCAGCAAGGCATAGGGCAGCTTTTGGCTGACTTCAGCACAGGAGGTGTAGAGGAACGCTCTTGATGGGCTGAAGCAAGAGGAACTTGCTCATCAGAAACACTGTTAGGAGGCTGCAGATCCTGCCTAAGTGGCAGAGGATCCAAAGTTCCCAGCCCAGCAGGTGGAGAAGTAAGGAGTGAAACAGCTTCCACTTCCACATCAGGCTAAAACACAACAGGAAAAAAAAAAAACAAAAAAAAAAAACCACACAAAACCCCCAACATCTTATATACAGTCTTCCAGTACAGATCCTCACATATGCAGCAAACCTTGGCTTTACAGTGTTACACGTCTCATGAGGGTACTGGAAGAACAACCGTTTCAAGATTGTGAGACAGCTTAAAGAAAACCTGTGCCTAATAGCAAGTGTTTAACGTGATCTGAAAGTAATCTAGTCAGGTCAAATCAAAAGCTTATTTTCTCCACAGCAAAAAAAATGCATTCTTAGATTTTAAACCAACATAACCAACTTATCATGCAATTGTTTCTGCTTCTTTTATAGAACTTACTACAGAGGATGTATGCAGTGAAATGCTAGCTGTCTTTGTAGAACACAGTCTAAGCACAATTTGACAAAAAAACCCACGATTTTGAGAGGAAGACAGTTAAACAACTGCTAAATGATTCTTTTAGTAACTGTGCAAGCTGCAAAGTAAAAGAAGCACAAAAGTAAAGGGAGAATGAAACTACTATGGCACATTTACCTATCTTGTACATAGGCACCCAACCTCTCCTTCTTCAATTTCTTTCAAGTCAAGGAATTTGGAGCTATGCCCTATGTCAGTGGCAAGCTACAGTAATGTTAACAGGGAAATCAACAGCTCCTGGTGGCAACTTAAAAAAAAAACAAACCAAAACAAAACAGATCCTGTGCATTTGGTTGGGAATGCCAAAATGGAGCTCATCTAATCTCACTCCAATAGCCTCAACTTCTTTGCCTGACACCCCCAAAAAAATTATTTATTCAGATATCAGCCTTTTTTAGTCACAGATGCTGAGAATTTTAGAATAGTAAATGACAACTCTAGAAAAAGGTCTATTAAATAAATTATTCTCGATTACTTAAAAAGCACATTCCTAACATGCATTATGGTAAGTCTCTTTTCTGGCTCACCCGGAAAGACCTCCTTTTTGAAGTTTCTCTTGCACCTTGCTTAGCTGAAGAAGAGTCTGGTTCTAAAACTCGTGTTCTCTGCTGTGAAGATGAAGCCTTGAATCTAGGAGGAGATACTAGAACCGCACCTCCTATAGTAGTGGAGAAGATAAAAAATGCTTTATTACCTTAAATAATCTAATAAATTCATTCATACATGTCTTTTTTTTATTTAGTTCTTGAAATATTGCTTTGCATTTAAAAGTCTTTTTACCAACGGCTGGGGTAGTGAGATCATGATGAGTCCTCTGAGCTCCACCAAGCGCTCTCAGCTTCGGAGTAGGAAGCCTGCCACCTGTCCTCGAGGATACAGAAGAAGAATCTGACGCGGCTGCAGAAGAATTCAATGCTAAGGCATTCTCACTGCAAAAAATGAAAAACAATTAAAGGATTAGCTAAGGACTCAGGAGTCTTGCACTCAAGCTTTTTGTTTGCAATACATTCCTACAATGAAGCCTAAGGCTAAGGCTAGTTAGGGCCATAAAACACCAACAGCCTGTAGCTAAAACATCTGCTTGCAATGGGGAGTCCTGGATTCCAGCCCTTAAGCCTCAGTTTCTGTATTTAATTTTTATTATGTAACTGGATAAAATACATAAACAGTCTCAAGCTGCAAATTCAGGCTCTCTCGGTCCTAAAAAACCTTGAATGTATTGTTGCACAGTAGCAGAGACTCAACAGAAGGACAGGAAAGAGTACTCACCCAGAAAAACTTCGAACCTGGTTGCCACCTTAGAGGTGGGAATGTGGGTTTGACTCTTTTCAGTCAATGTGGTGGAACTGAAACCAAGTATCCCACATTTATGTAACCGCTCTAGCCCCCAGGTTATTAAATAAATCAGCACTACTACTTCTGTCTTCTTCCTCCAGATGCATATCAAAAGGAGGTGGTGGCATACCCACACCGTGCAAGGAACCTGATCCTATCAGTGCATGCTAGACACACTCTGAGGACATCTAAGCAAAGAATGCCTCATTGCTAGCTCTGAAGCAGGCTTAGATAACATGCAGATATATAACTTGGATCTTTCAACTGTCAAATACAGTACTATGCACCGTACTATGCACATACTGAATTGAGATCTCATTATTTCTAAATACCCCTCCACCTTTTCCCCACCTGTGCTCAGGAAAATAATCACCAGTGATTACTGTATGCTAGTTATTTTTTTCTCCTAAGTCTTTTATCTTCGTACACGATTTTTTTTAAGAAAAACAGATGCTTAAGTACAAGATTAGCACATATTCTATCCCTTCAGTCCTCTCAATCCTATGCTGTCAATTTGAAGGAAATTGTGAGCTTTAATTTTCACTGCGCTTGGCTGCTGCGCCAACAGCAGTCTGTTCTGAGAGGCTCACACTGCAAATTTTATAGTTTTGGAAAAAAAAGTCAGAATTGTTCACGCTTCTACAAACTTCTCTCTTGAAGTCAGAAATCCCGTATTCTTAATGATAGATCCATTTCCGTCAACCAGCCCAATGTCTTGGAGTTTTTCATTCCTTATCATACTGTTAAAAGCAAAAGTGGTGTCACATCAACTTATACTTTCTTAAGTAAATCTGGCTTAAAAACAGAAAGTAGTTAACCTACAAACTTCTGAGATGCTAGAGGAAAAAATTACATATGTACACCACAAAAATGTTCAGGTTTACCCTTCAATTTTCTTATCTTCACTGGCAACCTTAGTGTTTCCATCTAACTGCTGAGCCACAACTGCAGCCTGTTCATCTTGTTTTACTTCCTCTTCCGTTGACTGCCAATTCTCCCTTTCTTCAGTACCTTCTTGTTCACCCCAAGCTAAACGCCTTTTTACTGGAACAGTTAAAGCATCTGACATGTCTGTCTTCTCAGTGCTGGGCTGGTGTGGCTGTTCTCTGGAGTCAGGTTGCTGCAGCATTTTGGGGCTCGGTGCAGCCTCTTTTTCAGAAACCCTATGTAACAAAAAAAGCAGTGTTTCATACCATTGATTTGCATGATATACCTGTTGTCTATGTAGGACATATTCATCCAGTTCAGTCCTTTGCCAAAAGTACAGCTCAGATATTAAAAAATGGTACAGCTGACACAATGAATGGTTAAATTTCCACTAAGTTTTAACTGATGTTTAAGCCCGACCCATTTTCAAACTAGATTCTATGAAAATTCTTTGGATTACCCTTTCCAAAAATGTAATGTAAAATTAGGGCCCTATTTCCAATTTAAACGACAAGTTAGATTATCAGAAGTGCTGAAAAAATAACTGGTTCCATGCACAGGGACTGTCTGATGGCACGATTTTGAAAGTGAAGCAGTTTAGAAGACTCTTCTTCAGAGACAACTTTTGAAAGTCTTAAACTCTTAACTGCTCACAGAAATCAGTGCAAATTAGCCCAGCGCACAGAAACGAGATCAGTACGAGGATCTGTATTTTAGAGGCATAAAAACAAACCACTAAGCCAAAAAATTTACACCATACTTCATACCACACAATATAGTGTAATAAATACTCTTCTACATGTCATCCCCCCACCCTTATTAGACCTACAGTCATGCAAATGAGTAGATCCCTCACACACACACACACAAACACACGACAAGCAATGCGCATACAGCAGTCTAAGTGGACTACAGACAGAGGCACCCAAGGCACTGTTTTTAAATATAACATCTCAGAAGAGATACAAATTGCTTTTTTTTTCCCCCTCCTTGCTTCAGCAACAGCTGTCTGCACATTTTACTAAAATACTAATTCTGAATTTTCCTAGCAAGGGATTTTATATCTGCCAATTCTGATGGCCTTCAAAGAAAGCAGAAAATAGATGTACACTATTCCAGTTCCCAAGTCTTCATCTCAGAACTAAACAGTGTCTTAAAACTCAACCACAAGATTAATTAATCCTGACAAGAACATTGATAACATCTAAGTAGGCAAAACATACTTCCTATCATTCCAGTGGAAAGAAGAATGTTACTTCAGTATGACTCAGTGTGAAATTCCTCCAGACTTGATGTGACTAAGGTTGCCACACTAAATATGCATTTGTGGAGAATCATAAAGGATTAACTTTCTCTTCTTTCAGAAGACTGGACTGTGCTTTGGTTTCAATTTGAGCACACATCAACTGATGTATCTGTGAAAAGGTAAATACCCTCACCTGTTCTAGAGAATTTACATACCAAACCACAGAACAGCTCAGGTTGGAAGGGTCCTTGAAAGATCATCTGCTCCAGCATTCCAAAGGGAAAGGGGGCCTAGATAAGATTATTGAGCACCCTGTCCAAATGCATCTTGAATACAGTAAAACATTCAAGATTTCACAGCTATGCTAAGCCTATATTCAGCATTTTGCTCTGTTTCAAAGCTGCAAAACAACAGGCAGGAATGATGACCTTACCCAGCAAGATCTAGTGCTCTGATGTTATTGCTGATGCCTTCTTCTGAACTGGAATTTGAGGACACATCCCAGAGACTGTTATTATCGGACAGGATCTGATTGAGATGGTATCGGGAGAAGTGTGTTCCCTCTACGCGTTGCCTGTAAGCCTTTGCTCTTTCTCGAAGTTCTCTTACCTACACATCAAGGTTTCATAAGTTGAATATCTGCATTAATTGCACTAACAGGCTATTATAAAGCGTTTGCAATAGCTAATGGCAACTAGAGGAGAAAGGCAAGTTACTCATTATACAGGGCTACCCACAGCAAAAACATCGCATGCCACAATAAATGCAACAAAAAGAAAGCAAAAATAACAAAAGTGTGTATTTAGTAATGTTAAAGCATGTTTGAGCCATGAAGCCAAAGCAAAATTCTCAATTATTCATTCAATAAGCACAAGAAGTAATGCAGCAACTATGAATAAGTTTAGTGCTGGATTCTAGTTTTTCCATCAGCGCTCAGACACAGTGCTCCAAACACTGAAACAGGAACTTAGGTGCAACCAACCTCCATATACCACATGAAATTTAGGGTGTTTTGAGACACCTAAGGAGAGGAATACAGAATTACTTTTAAATTTCTAACTTTTCTCTCAACATTGAATTGTTATTATCACCCTTGTAATTTTATTTCAGTCTAAGCAAGAAATTAAATACTAAAAATCTGTCAACGTAGCTCTATGCTGCCTCCCTGAGATCCAGTAAAAAGCTGTAGAACAAATACATCAGCACTGGTATTTCACCAGTTTTTGCCAAGCTTAAGGAAACTGATTTAGATTTCTAAGCATTAACACTCAAAAATATATTCACCAGCAACTTATGATTATGTCAAGTCAACAGATCTATGTACATGTGTAATACTGATTTCGTATGCTGTGAACACTCCAACTGTCTCTAGCTACATTAATCTTATCTCAGTGAGCAGTTGACGATTACATGAGAACTCATGGTGCTATTGTATGTAAGACACAACATCAAAATCATTCCTTCTAGGCTATTAGTAAGCATAAGATTGAGATATAAAACTGTTCAGATGTCAGGTTTAGTCTTAAAAGAAAAAAAGTGATAAGGCCCCTCTTCAGACATTATGCTGCCGATTATACACTATTATTTTTATCGTTAAAACTATTTAAACACTCACACTGCTTTGTGTCCTTCACCCACACACAATTAAAGTGCAGGAAGAAAAAGAAACAACAGCACTTTTATGTTTAAATTATTAAAAATAACCTTGTGATACTGTTGTGTGAATTCTGGCTCACTAAAAAATGGTTCACAGGAAGTAAGTATTTTGTCAAAGAGCCGGAAAGTAATACTGACATTTCCTCTAGTACATTTTCATAGCTTTTCTTATTTATTCTTCTTTCATGATAGACTTCGCATCATTCTTCCTGTAAGGGACAGAGTTAATGGGGCAAATTCTGCTAAACTCACTACAAGTAACTGGATGTAGCAGATGGAAAACCGCTTAGCCCACATCAGCTAACGTCCCACAATTTGACCCACTAAATTTCCAAAGAATAGCCCATTAAAAATATATGCTTGTCATTTTAAGAGAAAAGTTTTAAGTTTGAGGTGCAAGTGATTTACTGCATTATTCACTTTAAGTAGAAGAATGAAAAATTATTTATGATAGCCACAACAGAGGGAATATAAATCCAGAGCAACAGGACACTGCAGGGGGAGGAAGAATACTATGTCTCCAGTGAATTATAAAGAAGTACAAAGGACAACTGCCTCCTTCAGTGACTCAGCAGGCAGCATTATCTCAGCAGGACACAGGCCCCGGAGAGTCCTAGTGTGATTATGAATTGCCCACATTAATTTTTCAAAAGCATAATTCAAAGAGATTTTTTCATTCAGCTGCTGAAAAGCAACCTTTAATAATATATTGCAGAGTAGCAGTCTAGGAGTAATCACTACGACTAAGGTCGTACCAGGATTCTACTACAGTATTTGCCTGTTTGGGCTCAGAACTTCAGAAAGTCTGCTTTGGACCCAAAGTTACCCACGCGCAGACCCAACTAAGGGAGAAACCAGACTGGATCAGTCAGAGCTTATCATCTAACCACTTATGCTAAGCAAGACATGTTCTGTAGGCACCTTTGGCAGCAGTGAGTCTCAACTACCCACCAGACACAGAGGTTAGACACAGCTTTGAAGAACATTTCTCTTCACATCAGTGCATTAGTATGGAAACAGGTACGGAATCATGTAGAAACCAAAAGGACCACTGGGCAGCCTATACTGTGAAGGGCCAAAGCATCTTTGTTGCTTTAAAATAAAACCAATGCTCATGACGCTTTTTCCAAGTTATGCATATTTTCATTAATCTGCCATCACCATATTTCTCAAAGGCTAGATTCTTTCTTATGTCTCAACTGTGAATGAGATGTTTTAATTCAGTCCTACTATTTTAGCCATGCTGGATCCCATCTTGTAGTTCTTAGAACAAAAATATTGATGGATGCTACAAAAAAAAAACAAACAACAACAAAGCCTGGCCAAGAATCAGGTCTATCAGGATTTTCATTCTTGTATTAACAGAGATTTTAAGAATTAACCTTGGTTTTCTTCCAACCTGTCTTGAAGACCAGAAAATTCCAAGCTTTAACCATGCTCGTTGCTTTCAGCACACCCACAAAACCCTTCTTATTAAGAATTACAACCCTCACTGATACATATGGAAATATTAACAAGACAATAGCAAATTAAAAAAAAATCTCCATATAGAAAAAATCCCACACAGTAACACATTTACAGAAGCTAAATACTATTTGTCTACCAGCAAAACTAGTTTGATATGCTGTACTGGTTTTGGCTGGGACAGAGTTAAATTTCTTTATAGTAGCTCCTGTGGTCCTATGTTTTGGATTTGTGCTGAAAACAGAGTTGATAACAAAGAGATGATTTAGCTATTGCTCAAAGGTGCTTACACAGCTTCAAGGCCTCTTCTGTTCCTCACACTGCCCCACCAACGAGTAAGCTGGGGGTGCACAAGAAGTTAAGAGGGAACACAACTGGGACAGTTGACCCCAACTGGCCAAAGGGATATTCCATATACACGACATCATGCCCAGCGAGAAAAGCTGAGGGAAGAAGGAGGAAGGGGGGGACATTTGGAGTTACAGCGTTTGTCTTCCCAAGTAACCATTACGGGTGATGCAGCCCTGCTTTCCTGGAGATGGCTGAACATCTGCCTGCCAATGGGAAGCAGTGAATGAATTCCTTGTTTTACTTTGCTTGGACACAGGGCTTTTGCTTTATCTATTAAACTGTCCTTACCTCAATCCACAAGTTTTCTCACTTTTACCCTTCTGATTCTCTCCCCCATCCCACTGAGGAGAAGTGAAAAAGTGGCTGTGTGGGGCTCCGCTGCCTACTGGGATTAAGCCACAACATATGCTCACAGAGATGTGATTTAAAGTCTAACAGAGACAGCAGAAATTCAGGTAATTTCAATTATAAAAGTCTCTTCTATATGAACCCATACTAGGATCTAACGTAAATATGCACACATAAAAATGTGTATGTAATCAAAATTGTGAACGTAATCCAAGCACATTTGTTATCAATAAAATAT